CCAGAGCCACTTACAGATGATCCAGAAAGTGTCAAAATAGTGTTCAAGCTGCCCAATGACACGCGCGTGGAAAGACGATTCCTCTTTGGGCAGTCGCTTACGGTGAGTCTTCACTCAGGGATGTAGTTTGTGTATGCTAAAACTGTACTCAAAATTCTGTTAAATTTGGGTTTTGCACTTTATATTCATCAATATAGTTTGACTTAACCACCTAAAAAATATACATACTCTAGCTATATAGTATATTACTTTGAATGATCCATTTGACATTAAAAAAAAAAAAAAAAAAGAAAATTCACAAGTCCCACAATACTAACGTGGCAAGAGTCAGATTGATAATGTGAATCATTCAAAGGAGTTCCCCACACTATCAGTCTGGGATTGCTCCAATGTTATCTGCTCGGGAAAGTCGGGACATTCAGTCCAATACTTTGAGATGATTGATCGATGCGGCAACGTGTGCACGCCTACCGCATTCGTCCTCCAGTGTTGCCATGTTTGGTTCCCCTGGCTGCCCGGTAGTCGACTGGTTAGCACATCGGCCTCAAACTGCAGAGGTGCAGGGCCAGATTCCAGCTCTGGCCTTCCTGTGTGGAATTTGCATGTTCTCCCCGTGCCTGTGTGGCTTTTCTCGGGGTACTCCCCTCCCACATTTCAAAAACATGCATGGCAGGTTAATGGAACACACTAAATTGTCCTTAGGTGTGATTGTGAGCACCATTGGTTGTTGGTCTCCGTGTGCCCTGTGATTGGCTGGCAATCAGTTCAGGGTGGACCCCGCCTATTGCCCGAAGACTACTGGCATAGGCTCCAGCACGCCCGCAACCCTTGTGAGGATAAGCGGATAAGAAAATGGATGGATGGATGTTTCCCCTGGCTTCAGCGTTTCTTGTTTTTGTCACAGCCTCATATCCTGCCTCCAAGCACATTGTTGCTTTGTGATTGGTCTGCACAACCAGTGGTGCGGCTCGGAGCAAATCAGCAGACTCGAGACAAAATGGTTTCTTGGAATTTTTGTGAACTCATAAATACTGTGAGAACACTGTAAAATGCATTTCCACAGCTGGTGAAATGTCCTCTTCATATGGAGCTCACAGCTATCAAAGCCATTGTGTGAAGCTGCTGTTCTTGCAGAAAACTTTAGTACCCAACCTTGAAACTCAACAAAAGCTTAGCTGTAATTCCATTATAATGAGTCCATTATTTGAACTTGAAACCCAAAATATACATATTGAACTAAAATCAAAGGGAAAATGAGAAAAGTGGTGAATGCCTTTCTTAATAATGTCCCAATCTAATTACATGATCGGAATTCAGATCTGATCACATGGTTTTCAGCTGATCGGGGATCGTTGAACACACATGGGTTTTCCTTATTTTCTGAGATTGTATAGGTCAGCGGTCCCCAACCTTTTTTGCCCCACGGACCAGTTTATGTCAGACAATATTTTCACGGACCGGCATTTAAGGTGTGGCAGATAAATGCTCCAAAATAATATGGTATGAGCTGCATGAACACTGTGGCGTTTTCGAGAGATGATAATAAACACGAGGAGCGTCTAATCTGGCTGCAACACTCTGATCGCTAAGGTAATGTTTATTGCCTTCAAAATACGATACAACGCAAATTCAAAGTGCATGAAAATGTCGACTCACCACAATGCTGAATCAGTGCGAGCCCCGAGCTTGATTTTCCTCAACTGGGCGGTCCCATCTTGGGGTAATAGGAGACAATGACACCTGAAGTGTGTGCTTTATGTCGAGTCTACTTCGTAATTTTGTTTTCGTCGTCGTTGCTGCAGAAACCCCCCGCCTCACACAGGTTGCATGTCGGAAATAGCAACAGTGCTATTGTGGCGATCTCAGAGTATTCAGCCATAACTTGAATCCAGAACACTGGCAGAGTTGTTGTCTCGAACGTACTTTTAAGGCCGTTGTCATTTGCGATCTCCAGCAGTTTATTTTACTCATTTAGCAAGCGCCGGCGTTTTGTTTTTAGCGTAATCGGTCACGTGACGGAGAAGCGTGGTGTGACGTGCGTCAAGAGTGACACAGACAGATGTAACGGAGAATCGGGTAATTTTTCAAAATAAAATATCTTTCGTATTCCAAAATAAATAGAACGGAATTAATGTAAGTTCTTATTGTGCGGCCTGGTACCACCGGTCCGCGGACCGGCGGTTGGGGACCCCTGGTATAGGTTACAAGGTGATCACATCATCTGAAGATATACATATCTTGTCGAAGTAGTTTAATTTTGTTTTATGTTACGTTTAGTTTTTTGTGATGCACAGTGGTCAGAGTGGCAGTAAAAGAAGCGCACTCACACACCCACCCACTTTTTTTGCTACAAAATTAAACTATTTTTATTTCAAATCAACCCAACTGTATTTATGGAGCACTTTAAAGCACCGCTGCTTCCAAAGTGCTCTTTATGGAGCAAAAATAAGTCTTATAACACCAACGATGGTTTATACAATAGAAGACTGTAAAATGCACAAAAACAGTCAAATGAAAACCAAGTCTCGTGTTGAGTCAAGAGCCAAAGATAAAAAATCGAAACACCTGTAACAGCCGAGCATTGTCTTTCCAATCTGTCGTAAATGTCCAAGATCTTCATTCATCTTTTTCGTTCTCAGGTAATCTATGACTTCCTGTTCTCGTTGAAAGAAAGCCCGGAGAAGTTTCAGATCGTCACCAACTTCCCTCGCCGAGTGCTGCCCTGCCTTCCAACCGAGGAGCAGCCCAACCCTCCCACGCTGAAAGAGGCGGGACTCAGCCGTTCTGAGGTCCTTTTTGTTCAGGATCTTACGGACGATTAACAAACAAAACAAAAAGACCTCAAGCCACTTCTGTGTGGGAACACCTTCTCCAATGCTCAGCCGTACCCCCACTCCTTTGTCCTTTTTTTGTTGAATGGCCACTAAGGGATCATTGAGTAAAAATTTGGAATTTTGTTGAATTCCCCTTGGGCAGTTGTCGTTCGCCTGCGTTTACAGGGTTCCCAATAGCCTGGAAAGTCTTGAATTTTATTAAATATTTGTTGAAGTTCATCTTTGAATCCCTTTCTGTCCACGGAGGTCTCATCTCATGTGTATCAGTTGCCTGTTCATTTTGTCTTTACCCAGGAGTCAAGTAGTTCTTGCAGAGGCTGGTATTCCCTCCACTGAGAAAATATTCCGACAAGTAGCTGGGTCTCTTGCTAAATCGCATGACCAAAATTACCTTAGAGTAATTCGCCTTGGCTTTGTTTTAGTATTGTCACAAGAAAGAAAGAAAAAAAATGTTTTGACACTGGTTAGAAATGCCTTTGAGTTTTCCATTTTTTGTCTTCTTTTTTACTTCCGTATGACGCATAAGACAGAGCCAGATTTCAACTAAAAGGAAACATGGGAACCCTGTTTTAAACGAGTAACATGTACATAAGTGTTCATAAACATGGAATTTGCCCCCCCATCCCACCCCAACTCATCTGTGTCATATAATGACCAGATGCATGTTGACTGTGCAGACTGACGCTCAAGTTTCACAAAAGGGGCCACAGCTTTTTTTCCCCATGTGACATGCTCTGCTAGGCTGCCGTCACTCACCGTTTTGCTTGTAACATCCAAATAAACTCTTGTAAAGATGACATTTCCCCAGCTATAAATTAAAAAAAAAGTGGGTTTATTGAACATTTGTGGTTGCATCAGTTTGAAATGAGACACGCGTTGTAATAGGTATATGTAATACATTTATTAGTGAACAACCCTCTCCAATCAGCCACAATTAAAAAAAATATGATTGCACTACTTGGTAAAGCATAACTAGCAACTTTCATTTAAAAAAAGTACAAATCTTAAAAAGTTAACAGTATACAGATGCATATAATACACTAACAAGTTCATGTTAAATGCTACAAACAATGATTCCAATGGAATGAAAAATTAAAACAATTTCCTCTATGTAATATATATATATATATATGTGTGTAAATATATATATATTAGTTTCCATCCTCCCACCCCCCACATTACAAACATGGAAAAATGAGGTAACTGTAAATGTGCAAGTACCAAAGCAAAACATATTTGCCAAACACAACACGTGCCTCTGGCTCTTGGTGGGTGGGCTGAGGACCCCTTAACGACCAGGCCAGGTAAGGACAGTCAACCATGATCCCACCGCAGCCCCCCCCCCCAAAAAAAATCATTGGTATACCTGAAATGGCATCTACGAAGCAATCAATCACAAATCCGAACAAATCTTAGCTGCTTATTGGAACACCTTTTTTTTGTTGCACCAGACAAACTGTGAGATTATCGAAGAAAGTTAACAGAAAGACTACAAGACTCTATTCTGTTGTCCTCATAAACTGCTTCAGTGGGAGGCTTGTTATTCTTGTTTAGTGGGGTAACTGGATAATGTCATGTGTTGGATACTCCCAAAAGTAAGCGCTAATATCAACATGAAGTACATGTGAACAATACATTTTAAGATATTGATACACTGAGAGCAAGTGCCTGAGAGGCCGGTACAGTACTACACTGGAATATGTATGACAACACTTATAATTTTTTTTAAAACCCTTAAACTATAATTATGATTTCCACTGGGGTATTAGTATAACATGCTTGAAGAATACATGAGATCCATGACAAACTATTGCATTCACGCAAGTGAGTTTTTGTAGCTAAAAGCGGAACATCTAGCACCTTGTCACTATGGCTTTTTAATCAAACTACAGTAGTCTCAGAGCAGGTTGTTTTCAGTCATTAGGGCAATAACAGTAACACAACGCATATTAAGAATTGATGGACCCATTTTTCCCTGCCCCCCAACAAAATGAAGTTAGCGCAATAAAATCTTGTAGTCATTCAGTTCTATTAGAAATATGTGCAGTACAATGCATGGCAGTTATCAGCTGAGCAATAAGATCCGAACCTCCAGAAGCTGACTCTGAACTGGATGACAAGCATGCATATTGTGCACCGTTAAATAGGTCCCCAGCAGATCTGAAGCTGTCCTTCACACGCTTTGCTCATCTTTTTCTTTTTTTTTTTTTGAAAGCATGCAAACACCTTCTGGAGTGATTAGGTAGGAGTGTGCGCACATTGAGAAGTTGGACCACAGCAAATAGTCAAAACTGGTTTGTAAAACGACTTGTGTACGTTGCCTGTTTTTTTTCTTCTTCTTTTGAAAACATGCCTTGTCTTTAAACGGTTTATTATTTCAGACATAAGAGGATATAATAATTGCTTACATGAAATCATTAGTGGTCAGAGAAAAATGACCTCAACATAAATTCAGATAGCTCCTTTTCATGGCATCCTTCCCATTCGACACAAGACTTGACTCTTCTTGTCCTGTATCATATACCGAGTGGCCCTGAGGTTTTTTTTTTTTTTAAACATACAATATAGCCTGCGAATAGATATGCATGTACACGTAGATTAATTCTCGAAGCTGTGGGTAGAACTCATTAAATGGCTTTTTTTTTCTTTTGAAGATGGCACACACATCAAAGACTGACATTCACTTAAGACATTGAAGTAAAGAAAAAGGCAAGATCCCTTTACACGCAAAAGCAACGCTTACAACTGCCTGTTAGTGCTTACTAATGTGTTTTTTTTTCTCAAGTCGCAACGCAAGCAGGAAAGTAGGAGTCCACCAGCGTTTCCGCACTACTGAACACCAGTGACTTCTACGACATTCTTCTGTCTTCAAATCTAAAAGCATTCACGCACAAATTATACATACACTTGTTCTTTTTTTGTTTTTTCTTTTCTGCTTTAACACCACCATTACGTTGATGACCACGTTACCGTAAGATACACACAATGTTAGTGCTCCCAACGCGTTCCTTCAACTCATTTTCTCCAAAAGGTTACAAAGCAATAAATAAAACCTTTCAGAAACGGTGAAAATGACACAGTATTTGCCAGGATTAGTCATAGGTTTGTGCTTGTCAAGGTCATATAAGAAGGCAGGTCGAACGAACATCTGGAAAAGTAGGCGATATCTATATATTGGATTTGGCTCACAAACAAACAAATGTTGACGGCCACGTCCTCCTCAAACAGGAAGATTCAAAAGTCGCCCATTTGCAACGTATTGCCGCCCGCGCGGGACAACGGCGACTTGCATCCGTTTCAATGCTCGCCTTCCCACATAAGCAAGCCGTTCTCTTCGTATGCTGCCTCTTTTTCTTCCGCTCCAGTTGTATCATTTTGGTGGTAATGCTTGGTTTAAATATTGCTAGTCGGAATCAACAGTTCATGCAAATCCCAGCATGCCGCCCTGTATCCAGTGTTTACACAATAATACATTGGCTCTGTGAACAGGATCAACGCGCAAACATACACACGCGCACGCACACACACACGCTGAGGATAGCCGTAGCACTTGTGCACTTATGCTCGATGACCTTGAAATGATCCGGTCTGTGAATCCAAGACATCTTTTTGGATACGTGTGTGTGTTCCAGAGAGGATCGTGTGGCAGACGCGCGTCGCTTGCAGTCTAAAAGCTCAGGCTGAACAAAAGAGGGCTAAATGATCAATCGAGTATTGCAGAACAAAGGTACGAAGAAGTCTGTTTTGCCAACACGAACATGCATCTATGCTGCTTCTCCTCGCGTCCAGATAGTCTTGAATCACTTCCAGCCTTCCATCCTCCACTAAATTCAACTAACGCAACCCTGTAAACAAAAGCAGCAAATAATGCGCACAAATGGGGATACTCTTTGGAATCGGCAACAAGGAAGTGGGGAGGCCAGAGAAAGAACCAGCTGGTGATCCCAGCGCTCCGCCTTCTGGCTGCAGCGGGGGGGGGAGGGTTTTGTGTTTCTTTTTTTTTCTTCACAAGACTCGGGACAATTGAAGCACAGCTGGGGACGCCAAGAACCATCCCGGATTGCTTATTATTTAGTGGGTTGTTAGCTGTGGTTAGTTAGTGGCGGGTGTCCACAGCTTTAGGACTAACTCTGGGGTGGGCGAAGCTTTTTCCACTCCGGCTCTCACTCCGCCTCCCGGTGCACGTCCGACGCGTCGGCTCGGCAGATGGGACAAGTGCGATTGGTCTAGAAATCAAGCGGAGGGAGGTCACATATGAACGCGCCGGCTGCAAAACCGAGCTGACTGTGTCTCCACAATGTCATCTTACCTTCAACCATTTGTCCACACATTTGGCGTGGAATTCGTGGTTGCAGGGTAATACCCGAAGTAGCTGCCTACACTCAAAGTCACTAAAGCACACAACACATCTGAGGACAAAAAAAAAATACAATTGTAAATGCAATACATGTAAAATTAATTGAAATATATTTTGAACCTGAAGTGAATGTGTTAGTTTCCAATTGCTGCAGACCAAATGTCCTCATTGATATGCTGTATGAATTGAATCCCGAAATGGTAATTTCATTATAAATGGCATTAAATACGTATGTGTGTGTATAGATAGATAGACAGATAAGAGCTTACAGCGTTTGCTCAGAGAGATGATTCTCTGAGCTGAACCTGTAGGATGGAAGGAGCTCAATGTCGGCCTTGGTGAGTCCACGTGGTTTGGCTTCACCCAGCCTCTCAGCCAGATTCAGTAAAGCCTGTCGAGAAAACCCACGTTTCAATGGCTTGTAGACAAGCAGTAGTGTTTTTGGAAAGTGTACTTAATGAAGTGCTGCCACTGTGATTAAATGGCTTTTATTGTCGAAAAAGGTCGCTCGCGATCCCGACCCCAAACTCTGTGCTCTGCTGATGGAAGCCAGTCACTCTAGTTGCAATGCTGAAGGCTCCACCGTGGGCCATTATGGTCATGAAAGCCAGACTCGACATGAAACCAGCAGAAGGTATTGCATGACACCTGTCTAATTTCAGCGAGACAAGGCGTAAGCGTGTGTAAAGTAGACTTGAACAATTAAAACTTATCGTATTTTCCGTACTATAAGGCGCACCGAAAAGTCTTCCATTTTCTTAAAAGCTCACCGAGCGCCTTAAAATCCGGTGCGTCTTGTGAATGGTCATTACGGTAATATGTTGACCCCAAGATGGTTCCTTGCTGGAGACATGCTTACAATGTTATAACTTGCTGTTGCTTCAGTGAACTGTGTCGCTGCTTTATTAAATACGTTTTTGTTGCAGCTCCGAAAAAAGGAGAGCTGTGGTGTTGTTTTGTAAAACGCCCACTTTATTAATGGTTTTCACAGTCTCAACAAATACAGATACGTCTTTGTCCGTCTCCGAGCCTTCTCTTTTTCCGTTCGACTCGAGAGGCGTTCATGACCGCCTCCGAAAAACGTAAATTAATGATTCCTTCAATGAAACTACGAAAATTGAAAATAATGCATCAAAACAGAAAATCAAGCGAGGAAATCACAAAATAAATTCTATAGCCCACCTACAGAATTTATTTTGTGATTTCCTCATTTGTGAATACAGTACACAACAAAGGAATAAATAAACACTTCTGAGACAGTCCAGTCTCCTACATTTTATTGACATCTGATCGTTCTGTTGGAGCTACGCTCAAGGAAATGCCAAAATACATTCTGTAGGGGGGGTATAGAATTTATTTTGTGATTTCCTCGCTTGATTTTCTGTTTTGATGCATTAGTTTCAATACTCGTAGTTTCATTGAAGTAATCGTTAATTTACGTTTTTCGGAGGAGGTCATGAACGCCTCTAGTGTTGAACGGAAAGGGCGTAGCTCCATCTTGTGGATGCATTGGAGATTGCGCCTTATAATCCGGTGCGTCCAATATATGAAAAAAAATTACAAAATAGGCCATTCATTGAAGGTGCGCCTCATAATCCAGTGCGCCTTTTAGTGTGGAAAATACGGTATGTAATTCCGATCCACCTCTAAATGGAGTAAACTGCAATTTTGAGAAAGAAAAAAAAGGTTCATTTCGACCAGTTAGTAATCTTTATTTTTTATTGATATGTATACAGTCATACCTCGGTTTTCGACCATAATCCGTTCCAGAAGGCTGTTCGAAAACTGATTTGTTCGAAAACCGAAACCACGCTCTTTAAAAAAAAAAAAAAAAAATCTTTATTGAACACATCTGCTCAAAATGGAACACGACACGAGGAAGCATCACTTCCTCGTGTAAGGAAGGCGAGAAGAGTTAAGTGGCGCAATCAAGTGCGCTCAGTTTGGTCGAGAACCGATTTTCGGTTGTAATCCGAGGCATAAAAAACTTGAAATTTTTGGTCGAAAACCGATTTGGTCGAGAACAGAGACGTTCGAAAACCGAGGTTTGACTGTAATTTATATGGTGTCTAGATAAGGTCAGAGCAGTCCATCTGTTTACATACTGTTTTCATGAAATATAAAAAGTTGAACTAATAAAGGCAGAGATTTGTTGGCATTATTGTTGTAATCTGATTGATGATTGACTGACTTATTTGTAGGCCACACTTTGGTCGAATTTTGTGAAGTTGTCGTAGTGAAGTGTTTCGTAAGTTCATAACTCGAACTGGACTAGATAAATAAACTGTCTTTCATATTAACTCAAGTGTCCATTTACTTTAATTGTAGCATAACCCTAACCTATAAAACCAAAACATTTATGTAGAACAAATCTGACACTGCAAGGTCTTTTTTGACGGTGGCCAGAAAGAGCCACCATGGGCCCTGTTGTGGTGGCCCTTCAAGAACCGACACTGGCCCTGTAAATTCATGAGATCATGTGATATTTTATTTTATATACCATGTTATTTAAGCCTTTAAAAATATATAACTGCTGCGTTGTTCGCTTTTTTTTCTTATTTATTTTTTACATGTTATGCTTTTAGCTTAAGAGTACAACATCTAACTGAATATTTAATATTTAAAATTTTGGGGAATCACATTTAAAAAAAAATCATTAAGCCCTAGTGGAAGTGAGTGTGCTATTATTCTTGATCCTTGTTTTTTTTTTTTTTTTTTTTGACAAAAGCCCCCATAAGCATGTCATTAATCTACCTGGGTCCTTCTATTAACTCATTTTTCATTCATTGACCCCCCCCCCCCCAATTCAATGACCAAGACTTTTACAGTACCATGTGTTGCATGAGCCAATAATGAACATGAACAAACTCAGTAATACAGTGAAACTCCTCTAGAATGAAACCTACATGGGCGAAAATACCCCCTTATGTGAAAAAATCTTCATGCATTAACACAATTCCCATTCTCCTGCCCCCCATACGACGAAAGCCCCCCTGTTGCGTTATACGAAATCATTTTCTCTGCTCCAGCCTCGCGAAGACATTCACTACAACGAAGTCTTATCCAACAGCGACCTCTACTGCTTCGTTCGAAAAAAGGCAACAGCAACCACCACACTGGTTTACATAGTGAACGATGTTTATTTCGGTCACAGCTGCGAGTTTCCTGGGCTCAACATACTCATAGCTGCTCTGCTATTGGCTTACCGAGCATCATCCTGGCCTCCGATTGGCCAAGAGGCCACATAGACCTCACTGTCTATGTGTGTAGATACTGAAGCTAGATCCGTAGCATCCGATTAGCTGCTCAGAGTAAATTGCTTATGGCTCGACGGACATTTACTTTACTTTTTATCATGCTAAAAACACCCACGGGACGCTTCGTAGTCCTCGATGGCCATAGTTAGCTCTCGAAGGCTAAAAAACTGGAGCGCTTCTCTCTCATTAGCGCTGCAGTTAGCGTAAGGTTCTTAGCCTTCGAGAGCTAACTATGGCCATCGAGGACTACGAAGCGTCCCGTGGTTGGTGTAAAAGTTAATTGCATGCCAGGAAGTATTTGTTATTGTTAGATTCAGACGAGGATGGACGTTGCATTGCTAAAATGGCTGCAAAAGGGACCTTTAGATGTCAAACAGCTAAGACAAGAAGAGCTCTGATGCGACGTAAGTATTTGGCAGAGGAAGAGAGGGTAAAAGTGATCAAAATGAAAGACGGAGCAAGCAAAATAAAAGACATTATCCAAGAAATTGATGGAAGTGAAAGTGAATGCTGATAATAAATTTCACAATTTCTTTCCCTTTTTTTCTTTCTACACTGACAATATGAAGTGTCAAATAAGTGTGTGCTCATACTTATGCACTATTGGAATAAAAATAGAGTACACATACGTTTGTGTGTGTGTGTGTGTGTTGATTGCTTACATCTGAGATCAAATTTGCTACAGTGAAAAACCCCCTGTTGTGAAAAATTTCTTGCTGCAAACATGATTTCGTTGTAGAGGAGTTTCACTGTACCATAATGAATGATAGACAACAAAGGTGATCTGATGCGTGCAGATCAAAATTGCATGGGGAATGAAATTAGAAATGTTGATAATTTCAATGTAAAACGTAATTTAAGGTATTTCAAACAACATTGTGATCTTTGGCATCATTTCACTTGCCCGTATCATCCATTTTTAAAAGCTGAGGGGAAAGCTATAAATAGAAGCATATTCTGTTTTCTTTGCACTCCGTCCAAATGTACACGAATAACATGTGTACAGACAGTATCTTAGATTCATTTTATATGTTATTGCTTTATTGTGATATTCATTCATTTCATGGGGTGCTGGTACCATAAAACTGTGTTCGAAAATTTTAAAATAAAAAGAACAGCCAAGAGGTAAACTAACCTCATAGTTCTCCATTTCCACATCGTCCACATCAAGGTCGAGACTGATGGCTGGGCCCACTGCAGTTGGAGGCACAGGAAGCATTGAGCTGCACAAACAAACACATAGACAATTACATGCAGTCCGTCTAAAAGCATTCGCCACTGGTATGTGGAGCTGTAAAATGTAATCTGGGAGCACTGGTAACTAGAGGTGATCCTCTTTCCTGAGAACTGAGCTTTGTCCACATTGTGCACTTACAGGAAGTAAGGGAGGAAGCCTGGGTAGTAGGATGGAGGCGGCGGGGGAGGAGGGAGAGGCTGCTGCAGCCGGTATCTCTGCCCATTTGCTCGCCGGGGCAGCATATGTGGGTATGGCTGGAGGGAGAAAACAATCGTGTGGATTAAAAACACTTGAGACTCATTTCAGCACATTGCAGGATTGGAGTTGCAGAAACAATGTACCGGTAATCAATAAAGGGTGTTTACAACAACAGGTACATACGGAGCGTGTCTTGATATAAACCTATGCTACTTTGTGCTGCATATGTGATATGGCATGAATTTGTGCCCCCCCCCACCCCCTTCGGGCTGAAAAAAAAAGTTTTTTTTTTAATGAAAGCAGTGACCTTGCACATGAAGCACAAAAAATATCATTTAATATGGTAACACCCGAGTCTGATATAACGCAGATATGAGATCTTGCATGTTTTTGAAGAAAGAAGTGCTTCTTCTAATCACACTAATTAGGGTACTTTCAGACTGTAGGGGTCTTAATGCTCAATTCCGGCATTTCGGTGAAATCCATATGTATTTGGTTGTGTGTGTGTGTGTGTGTAATCGTTCACGTTACATATGAATTGCAAACTCAGTCTGTCTGGTGCGGGAACCAAATGCATCCCCAAAGTGACCCGCAGAAAAAGATGACGTCACTCACAACAGAGAGTTTACGGAAGTAAATATGGTCCAGTGTGTAGGGGCTCATCTTTTTATCATCTCATATGAATAGAGGAGCAATGCGGGAGGAGGTTGAAATATTTTGGGGAAATGGGGCGAGGCATCTCCTCATTTTACGGAGCTACTAAAGATGATGTCACGTCACTGGTGCGCAAAATAAATGAAACGTTTGCGTGGCCTAATTACTACAATCAACACAAATGTGCACTGTTTGCTTCATGTGGGATTCAATTAAAGTCAAATAGGAAGCCAATACTGTTAGTCAAAGCAACTTTGCAGATTCATGGAAAACTGTCACTTGACCTCCCAAGCACTCTCCCCTGCCCGAGTGGAGCGCATTTGATGACGAATAGGTTGGATACATGCGACCGAGCCGTTCAGACTGAGGTCGCATTGCAAAAAAATAGTCACCCATAATACTGCCAAGACACTTCCAGGCGTCAACTGAGGGACTCTAATGTGGATTTGAAGTGAAGGGCACATTCTTACCACTCCGAAAGGAAGCTCCTGATGCAGAGGCTCTTGAGGAAGATACGGTATGGGCAGAGAAGGAGGCAGCGCTGGTGGGTGATGTGAGTAGGAGAAGGTTCCTAATGGGTGCTGGTCCCCTCTTAGGTCGACTTCATTCTCTACCCGCTGTAGAGGCTGGTGGGGGGTGTGGGGGGTAGGTGGGCGGTAAATACCAACGATTTGCTAAGTCAACAATGATCACACAGTTGGTGTGGACTACTCACCATGCGTGGGTGCTGAGGCTGTAAAGGGACAAATTGGCTCAGAGGTGTAAGGTGCGGCGGCTGGTGAGGGGGTACAGATGGGGTTGGGTGCAATACAAAATGTTCACTGGAGATCAGGGGTGGGAAGGCTTGGTAAGACACCGGCATATGCTGCATGGTACAGGCCTGTATGAGCTGAGAGGAGACAAAAGCACAGGAAGAGACCCAGTAATCGTTCACGTTACATATGAATTGCAAACTCAGTCTGTCTGGTGCGGGAACCAAATGCATCCCCAAAGTGACCCGCAGAAAAAGATGACGTCACTCACAACAGAGAGTTTACGGAAGTAAATATGGTCCAGTGTGTAGGGGCTCATCTTTTTATCATCTCATATGAATAGAGGAGCAATGCGGGAGGAGGTTGAAATATTTTGGGGAAATGGGGCGAGGCATCTCCTCATTTTACGGAGCTACTAAAGATGATGTCACGTCACTGGTGCGCAAAATAAATGAAACGTTTGCGTGGCCTAATTACTACAATCAACACAAATGTGCACTGTTTGCTTCATGTGGGATTCAATTAAAGTCAAATAGGAAGCCAATACTGTTAGTCAAAGCAACTTTGCAGATTCATGGAAAACTGTCACTTGACCTCCCAAGCACTCTCCCCTGCCCGAGTGGAGCGCATTTGATGACGAATAGGTTGGATACATGCGACCGAGCCGTTCAGACTGAGGTCGCATTGCAAAAAAATAGTCACCCATAATACTGCCAAGACACTTCCAGGCGTCAACTGAGGGACTCTAATGTGGATTTGAAGTGAAGGGCACATTCTTACCACTCCGAAAGGAAGCTCCTGATGCAGAGGCTCTTGAGGAAGATACGGTATGGGCAGAGAAGGAGGCAGCGCTGGTGGGTGATGTGAGTAGGAGAAGGTTCCTAATGGGTGCTGGTCCCCTCTTAGGTCGACTTCATTCTCTACCCGCTGTAGAGGCTGGTGGGGGGTGTGGGGGGTAGGTGGGCGGTAAATACCAACGATTTGCTAAGTCAACAATGATCACACAGTTGGTGTGGACTACTCACCATGCGTGGGTGCTGAGGCTGTAAAGGGACAAATTGGCTCAGAGGTGTAAGGTGCGGCGGCTGGTGAGGGGGTACAGATGGGGTTGGGTGCAATACAAAATGTTCACTGGAGATCAGGGGTGGGAAGGCTTGGTAAGACACCGGCATATGCTGCATGGTACAGGCCTGTATGAGCTGAGAGGAGACAAAAGCACAGGAAGAGACCCATTTTTATGCAACATTCTTCACACCCACTCCTCCAGCTGGTCGAAAAATTCCATTTTAAAACATGTTTTAGGACGGGCTGGGCGATAGGACACTTGAAAAGAGAGCACGGTTTCACGCCATTTTTGGTGTTCGTGCTATGATCTGTTGACTTCTGAACTAGCCAGTCGTCAATTCACCGATCACAAAGAATTCTAACAATTGGGGAGTATGCGACTTGCTGTTAACCAGCAGGGGCACATTAATTCCATCTCAACTAATTTCATGCGTGGAGAACAACAACATGCAGTCACTTTTGGAAAGATGATCCACTCTACACTTCAACTCCTATGGGCATCAGCCTGCTTAAAATGACCACAAAAACCTCCCCAAAAAAACCACAAGAATTCAGAGCAGGATTCTGCCGTCCGGTTGACAAAAAATAAAATAATAATTTCAAAACCAATATTTAAGCAAGAAAATGTCGTCAAATGTGCATCCTGAGATCTAACAATACAACACAATTCAAAAAAGCAATGGCAAATAAGAGCATTTGCATTTTCAGGCACAGGCAACATCAAACACAGTCGACTTATTTTCAACGACAACAAATTCATGCCGCTAATTTAGCTATTTCACAAGAGACATTGTAGCGTATCGGAAAATTCTCCACAGAAACATACTGCACGTTTGCTATTGAGTGCTACGCTAAAGCCACTGACATTTGGGCTTTCCCCTTTCAAACTCACAGGAGGAGGAAGGCAGCAGAGCAGAGAGAGCTGTCCGCTGAGCATTACCGAGCATGCTGGGAGCTGCGGAGTGTTGCACCCTGGTAAAGGCTGCCCAGTGTGGATGGGAAATCCATGGGTCGTCACCGTCGTAACAGTGTATGATATTGGAACAGATCCCTGGGGCATCTAAAATAAGAGAAAAACCGTAAGTGGATCGAAACGAATGGCAAACTGCCTCAAAATCTGAAATTGGTTAAACTGGACCATCTATGCCAAGTCCAAGCAGTCACTCAAATGGAGGTCTGTGCTTAATATATAATGTATTGGATATATTGAAAATATATTGAAGAAAAATATGATTTTTTTTTTTTTGCATGATCTTAACTCAAAGATGTAAGGCTTTATTCTACGCCACTGCCCATTTCTGACAAATATTGTTCACAAATCTGTCTAAATCCGGTCTACCAACACAGCAAATCACACACATTGAAGAGTGGCTTTTTATTGTGGGCAGTCTTAGACAAACCCGTGAAATAATCTTGCTGTCTGACGAGCATCTTGATATGCCACACCTTTGAAGTGGACAGATTATCTGAGTAAGGGGGTAAAGGAGTGCTCACGAACAGATTTAGACAAGACTGACAGACTGGTGAACCATTTTTGAGAAAAATGTGTTCAAGTGTTTAGTCTGGGACTCCGGTTTATTTATTTGTTTATTTTCTTTTTTTTTGGGGGGGGGGGTCAAAATTGGCAATTCGGCATGGGCCAATTACCAGTTTGACTGTTTACCATGATTTTAAAAAGTCAAGGTTTCAATAACTGCTGAAACTGTCCGTTGCTGGTCATGAGCGCTTTTCTTTATTTGAAGAGACATGATTGGCTGCTTTCAACTATCGCTAAATGAGCCACCTTTTTGAAGTTAAGAAGGAGACACCAGCTGCTTTTTCTTCTTCTTCTCAGATGAACAGAGAGGGGAGGAGGATGGGAGTTCAACAGAAGCCTTTTTGTTATAGCGATCAACGTGCATCGCCCGAAAATACAAATATTTTTAAATGATGCCAGCGGGTATTAGTTAGCCCCAAAGACATCATAAGAAGACTGACTCTGTGCTAAATTTAGCTCACCAGTGATGGGACACTGTGACTTGGTAAGAAAAATTGAAACAGAAGAGTCTTAACAATTTTATTTATTTCAACTGTAAAAACTTGGGGTATTTACCCAAATGGGTGGGGTTGAGCTATACCATGATACCATGATATTTTTGCTTATGGTTATCATACCGTCAGGCCTATTGCTAACCGTGATTAACCATATTGGTCACGTTAATCATAATATGAAATATTTCATGTCTTCATGGACGAACGCAATCGAATAGTTTCCTACAAAAAAGGTTTCCTAAAGCAAAGGTCTAGAATTCAGTGTGTGACAGAAGCTCATATATAACATCTAATGTGTCTTTTTTTTTTTTAAGTATTGTAATTTGAGCAGGAAAAAAACGAATGTAAGAAAAAAAAGATGCATACTATTATTGCAAAAATACGCCACTAGCAATTATAGAGATTGTATGGGGAAATTTGGTATCCACTACCTGGAACATCAACTAGTATCTGATATGCTACCTGCTCGTGTAGATCCACCATGATGGGGTTCTGCTGGGGGAGGTGGGCCGCAGGGTGAAGCATGCGTGGTGCTGTGCTGGTGTGGCTGTATTGTCTGGATTCATCTAAAGGAACCTGTTGGTGATGTTGTGAGAAAAGCAGATGACGGAGATTCTCATCCTGGACCAGGGAAGTGTGCAGCACAGGCCTGTCTCGTAGCCCCCACTGGCGTCTCACTGGTGGGCTGTAAGACCAGAAAAAAAGGATGTTAGAAATGAAGAGGATATATCACACACAAATGAATCATTTCAATGTACAAGGGGCTTATATGGCATTATGTAAACTCATTATGAATGTTGAACAAGAGGGGATAACACAACCCTAAAATGTAAATATAATGCCCCAAAAAAATCAAAGGAACACTTAAACAGCACAAAGTAAATCCAAATGTTCCCTTAAACATCACAATGTAACTCCAAGTGTTTATTTTTGGGAGCAGTTTATTACATTTGTACATGTTCAAAAATGTCTGTGTGGAGCAGAGCTTGATTGCGTGCACCTATATTTGCAAGAACGAAAGTAACAGTCAAAACAGTTCAAACTTGCAAGAATCCGTTTAGGCCCAAAACATAGTATCATTTAATTTCATGTGAATCGATGCACTGCAGTATCAACCTAATCAGTCCATACCAAAAAATACAACATAATATATTCCACTGTACCTTCTCCTGAGATGCACAGGGGCAGTACAGGGCTCTCCAAGGAACCTCCTTGGGTTCAAGGGGGCTGTTGGGGGCAGCCTATTTACTGCTACTTCCCATGGTCGCATTGGTGACGTCGTGCAGACGAGTCACACTCTGGGAAAGGAAACTACACAGTGGAGGAGGCACTTGTTTGTTGCCTCCGATTGTCTTCACCCTGCATAAAAAAAGAGACAAGTGAAAGCTCATACAAAATTGCATATGGTTAAGATGTAGCGAGAAAGATTTGGACAAAAAATAGAAAGTAATTCTGTATCTATATTTGATGTGTTACAAGTATGAGTGGCTACAATGTTAGGTTCTGTACAGGTGTAAATGTGAATTATTGCAGGAAATGCCATCATTTCTGATAATTGGAACATCTTGGGTGTGGTTTCTACTGATTCAAAATTTTAAACACCTGCTCACCGGGACAAAGAACAAACTGAAAACAAACCTGTAATTATTAATAACGAAAAAAAAAAAAAGCCCCTCAAGGGATACTGGGAAGTGGGTACTGCTTCAGATTACACAAGCATTTTCAAAACACAAAGAACAACAAAACTGAGAATGACAGATTTTTAAGTTTTGCACGATAACTGAATGGCGGATACAGTCCCCAAAAACTTCACGTGGCTGCTTATGTCACCAGCAGCCGGATGAAAATTGATAACTCAGCCCCGGGCAGTGAACTGTAGGATATATGCCTCATTCTCACTGGCAGAAATCAGAATCATCTTTATGAAAGGCCAAAGCAAGAGATTCAAATTCAGAATCTTAAACTGTAAGGCAGACCTCAGCCATTTTTGGATATATTCTGCAAAATGCAGTTTTAATCTTCAAAAACATCAATGAGAAGATTGCTGGTTTTACAGGTTGCAAATTAAACTGAACAGACAAGAACAACAGACAAACAAGCTTACAAATGAAAGGGCACAAACTGCCCAAATTTGATTTCGTTAATTCGTAAAGAAAGAAATGCGGTACTATATTCATTAAATGGTTTGCAAAATAATACTAACAACAACAACCAACGTCCTGTGGGCATAAATAGGGGTCGCTGTTACATGGCTGAACAAAAACATGGAAGCCATGTGCTCACTAGACAAAGCAACAACAACAAAAGCTATAGCGGCACCCGTCTCCCATTTACTGTTGCAGTACTTTATCGGAGAACCACACGAAGCTGTGCACACACGACAGACTGTCTGGGAGACAGGACCGCGGCGGCAGCTGAGAGCTCGTTTCGCCTGCGACAACTCGACGTCCCCTGTTGAAGGAGAGATGAGCTAGCTAGGGTTGCAAAGCTATGCTAACGCTTTGTCCAACGGGTTCGTAGCAAGGACAGTTGGCAAGCACACGCGTAACCTCGGGACATTTGTGTTCAAGCCCAAACAAGGATCTCAAAGTGTTGCACAGAATAGAACCACCCACCCAGCAGTATGGAACGGACTGAAGTCCTAAGACTTGGTGTAGTTTGAGAGCTTACTTTCGTGGCTAGTTTGTGTGCTCCGTGAGAAGGGGAGATGACAGGTGTTCCAGCTTGCAAAATGCCGTCTCCCATCCACTTATCCTTTGTGCACGACAGCCTCCAACTGACGTATGTCCCTCAATACTACACCGTCCCCTGAATTTCGTCCACAACCGTTTCCTTTGATGTATATATCCCCGAAACTGCCCGACAATCAGCTTGCTAAAACTAGAGCCCTATCAGACGTTTTCCTTTGGCTGCGGAGAGGCAACGTCTCCCCAGCAACCGTGAGAATACTAAAAATAAAAATCCACCCGTTAATGTTAATGTATCCCAAGCAGCATTAATGATACAAAAATAGAAACAAGTCGTTCTTTTATAATCGAAGAAAATCCCGATTGCCGCGTGCACGTTCCCTACACTGCATTGTTATAACGGAGCCACGCCCCCGCTTTGTATTGGCCAATCCGAGAGCGGCAAACACAGACAGCAGACGTCCAGACAGCGATGGCTGCGACCTACCAACAAACATTTGTTTTCCTACATGGAAACAAAAGATCCCCGTGATAAACAAGTGGCTCAACTCGAACTGTAACGTCTATACATACTTGTTCAACGAACGCGTGAATGAAACGTGAGCTGACGTCATTTTATTCAAATACTGTGCACACTTTTAGGTCACAATTCTGAGTACATTTATCTTAGACACAGTAAAACTGATCTGGCATACTCAACATGATTTGGGCTTGAAGCCACTTCGAAGCTGTATGGTATCTCAACAGCACGTGAGTGTAAAATAATACATAATATAGATTTTTTTCCCATATTTGCTACAATTGTTCATATAGATCACAGGAGTCCAATTAATGTTTGCGTGACTGCTGTGATCCTCAATAGGACATGAGGTCCTATGAGGACTATCCAATAGGTTATGTAATTTTGCACTTGCACGATCAAGAGAGCAAAATAGCTTCCATTTCCTCTTAGGTTTCCGCTACGCATTTTGCACACCGGCGAATGTAGGATGGAGTGCGACTGCGACAATGTCAACAATCAAGGCATATTAGCATCGCTGTCAGGTCCATTTTGTGTTTGCAGTTAATTAACGCCGTCACTACCATGCTTTACAGCATATTCCATCATCGGCTCATGATGCAAGTAAACTAAACCACGTAAAGCCTCACCAATGGCAGCCTGTTTTACCCAGGGTAAACATTACAGCATAGCAGTCAGCACCACCAAAACAAGGAGGGGCTGTGGAGGCTGATCCCAATGAGCGCCATCACAACACGGCTTCATTTCCAGCCTCAGACAACATTTTTAGCAATCTACCCGTGGTATCTCGTCAGGATACAAGCGCCATTACCTGATTGTTAGTGTGCAATCATCCAATCGCTGATATTTCACTTGTAAAGTTCACATCGCGTCAAACAAGAGCGGTGTCCCCTGGTCAGACGTTCCCGCGTGAGACATTCCGTGATTTTCACCTCCGCTTAAAAAAATGCGCTATAAATTCCAAATCCTATCAGGCATCTCGGAAGAGCTCATGCAATGCGACGTTATGTCTTGATAGCACGCTGAGTTCATTCTGCACACGCCGTTTTCTGGTTTGGAAACTCGAAGTCCAGCCCCCAGTTGTCTTGTGCCTCTTAAACTGAACGTATGGAGGGTTCTATATGCCTTAAACTAAATACTGTAGATTGGAAAACAATAGTCGACTGAAAATTGATTTCGTCCATCTTGACGTACATTCTAACATTAATGCAGACACTGGTAAAATAATCAAATGTGTTGAAAATGGTTGTTGGGTTTAATTCACCTGAATGCCTCAATTAACTACTTTTTATCAAGTCACGTCTTTATTTATTTTTAATTAAGTTTATTCCAATCGCTTGATCTTTTTAATTAGCAGTTCATTTGTGCATACCAGAGCTGGTGTCTTGGGGGTCAGTTTTCACCTATCCGCCAATTAACCCTTTGTGCAGGTGGTCTGTCTGCATGGGAGAAGATAAATACTACTGTAATTGTTTTACCCAATCACTTATTTTTGGTGTGTATTTAGTAGATTGGCTACGTGGCATATGCAGGATGCAGGGTATGAATTAGCTTAATAAAGCACAAATGCAGTCATTGAAATGGTCCTCCACAAATATGACGATATCTGTTCTGACCAGAGAACACAATAATTTACCAAATGTTGCATGCTACCTTATATATATCACAGGGCACTGTATAGACCAACTATTTGTAAACAATCACCCAGTCAGCAAAGGCATCTGGCCCGGCTTCGGCATGAAGCCGGCACAGCTGCCCAGTCAGCAAAATTGGTCTGGCCCAGCTCTGGCGCGGACACGGCACGACACTCGGCCCACATACCGCAATGAATGACGGTCCTGCAGTGGCCCGGGTCC